CCCTCTCTCTCTTCTCCTCCCCTGCTCACATGCTGTCTCTCTCTCTCTCTCAAAAATAAATAAATATTTTTTTAAAAATTTTAAATAAAATTAAAAAAAAAAGAAAAATATATAGAAGAATGCAATTATTATCTTAACTACCAAAAGAAAAACAGGAAAACAATATAAGCAAGGATAAACGTCCTAAAAACCTGTCTTTCTCTTTCCAACATTTATTTAGTGCCTAGGTAGTATACTAAGTGCTTCAGATTGAAAAACAAGTAAGACAGATCCCTAAAGTGTACTGAAGGAAATTGGTGAGTTAACAGGTATATGAGGATGTGTCATATGTGCTGTAATAAATGCTGGTGAAGGCTTAACAGAGAGGGGAGAAATTTATTCTGCTTGGGGAAAATGCGAAAGGCTTCACAATAAAATGACACTCTGGCTGAGTCACGTAGAGGGATGAAAAACCCAACCAGGCAAAGAAAAACATCCAGGTATGAAGGCTCAGGTTTATGGGAGGACTAGTGGTGCCTGGAAAACTATACGAAATTTACTGTAGCTGAAAAAGGTGCACAGGGTTAAGTTGAATAGTTAGGGCTACAAGGTAGAAAGTCAGATTGGGAAGAAATGTGTTATCAAACAAATAATTTGGATTTTAAGCTGTGGAGCCAGCAGAAACCCTCAAGCCAAAGAGCAAGGTAATCAAGTTTGTATTGTGGAAGTTACTCCTGGCAACAGTAGAAAATAGACTGAATATGTCCAGAGAATGGTCTCCTGAAACAATCCAAGCAAGAAACAATGAGGGTCTAGTTTACAATGTCTTTGTTTTCAGATGGTCAGTGGTACAGATGATAGAGAAAAGGAGATGAGATTAAAAAGAGATTTCTGAGGGAGAACTGAAAGGATTTTTAACTCCCAGTTTTCTAAAATGGGAGATAAGGAAGATGGCATCTTTATCTGATAACAATTTGTTGAAATAAATATGGAAGAAGAGATAATGTGTTCCCATTTTGAAGGTCTTAAATGTGAGGTACCTAAACATGCCTAGTTTACATCTAATAATCAGTTGGAAATATGAGTATCAAGTTTAGAAAGGTCAGGCCCAATGACACATTTGAGAATCAACAGCATATTGATGTAGCTGAAGTTATGGAAACAGATGAGATCACTGTTAAAAACCAGTGGGGGGGGGGGGGAGAAATAAAAGAACACATCCCTAGGGAATATCAGTAGAGAAAGCAAAAACAAGGGGAACCAAGGAATACCTGGAGAAATAATAGAACATCATAAAGCAAGAGAGCTCAGAATGCCAAGGGAAGAGATAATATCAAGAGTATAGGACAGGGGCACCTGGGTGGCTCAGTTGGTTGGGCATCTGATACTTGTTTTGGCTTGGGTCATGATCTCGCAGTTTGTGATTTCGAGCCCCATGTCAAGCTCTGTGCTGGCAGCATGGAACCTGCTTGGGTTTCTGTTTCTCTCCCCACCCCCCAACTTCTCTCTCTGACCTTCCCCCCAAAAATAAACTTAAAAAAAAAAAGAGTATATGATAATCCACAATGCCACAAGTCTAGAAAGTATGACTAAGATTAAATTACTGAACTTGATTAAGAGGTGAAGAATAACCCTATAACTGAAGCAATGTCATTAGAGTGACGTGAGGGAAAAGAGAGTAACTATACAATGGGGCAAAAAACCATTATGAGCCGAAGAATGAAAAGGGAATATAAACCAGTATTAAATAGTTGAAAATAGTTTTACCCATCACAGAGGGAAGGCTCTGCTCTTTAGCAGCACCTGTGTCAACAGTACATTGTTCCAGTAGCTGAGTTTCCAACTCCCTGAAGGTTAAAAAAAAAAAAAAGGTACTGGAATTAAAATATTGCACTTGATATCTTCTCTTACTTAATACTTTTACCACATCATAGTGGGTTATAATGCTTTACACAAAAGTGGTTTTTATCCTTTGCTTAAAAGATATGTAATGAGAATACATGAGCCGAGTGGGCTAAATGGGTAAAGGCCGTTAAGGAATCTATTCCTGAAATCATTGTTGCACTATATGCTAATTTGGATATAAATTAAAAAAATAAAATTAATAAAAAAGATGAATACATTCAAGGCTAAGAGAGAATGGAATGAGTAACATTAAATGTCCATCAACCTTCTATTGATACTGTCAAAATATTAACATGTTTTTGTGGTACAGGTGAAGCAAATGTGCTAAATCTCAAGAAACTTACTTGTGAAGAGCTTTTCCTCCTAGAGGGAGTGCTCCCCAACAATTCAGTACTGGGATCCCTTCATATATCTATAGGGGAGTCAAGGATGTAACCATTTTAGGAGATAAAATGTGGTTTCCTTGGTTATTTTCCTTACCTTCTGTGTATTAAGTCAGCTTTGGTAACAGGTTCTCAATATTTTTAAGAGGTACAAAATATCAGTCATTTTTCAAAATTTTCTCCAAAGACAAAGGTTACACACACCCACACATATACACACAGAATTCATTAGTTAGAACTGAGGTGTCTAATAAAGTAGCTACTGGCCACATGTGGCTACTGAGCACTTGAAATGTGGCCAGTTTGAATTCAGATGTGCTGTAAGAACAAACCCAATACCAAATTTAGAAGACTTAACACACACATACAGAAAGCCCTATGAAATATCTCATTATAGTTTTTATACAGCTTATGTGGAACTAATAGTTTGAATATATTGGGTTAAATACAGTAATTGCATCTTTCACTTATACTTTAAAAATGTAGCTACTAGAAAAATTTTAAATTACATATGTCTCACGTTGTATTTCTACTAGAGCTGAGAGGATAGTGGACAATACTGTACTGAAGATTTGCTACCTTATTTTCCATATTGTCTGTAAGTACAATGTTTAAAAAATATATATGTTGGTAAGAGCATTGGCTTTAGAAACAAACATGGTTATATACCTTGGCTATATGCTTATATGACCTGCAGTCAACTATCCCAACTTTCCATCTTCTCAGTTATATAATAAGGAGAATACTACTTGTGTGGCAGGATTGTTACAAGATATAAACACAAAATAGTTTATATTTAAAAAGCTATTACCAGGGTGCCTGGGTGGCTCAGTCAGTAAGCAACGGATTCTCAGTTTCAGCTCAGGTCATGACCTCAGGGCTCATGTGTTGGAGCCCCGCCCCCCACAATGGACTCTGCACTGACCGTGTGGAGCCTGCTTGGGATTCTCTCCCTCTGCCCCTCTCCCTGTCTTGTGCATACTCTCTCTCAAAATAAACTTAAAAAAATATTTAAAAAGTTTAAAAATGATAAATCAAAAAGATATTACCTAATTTAGTTCTTTAGGAGCTACTGATTCTTGATTTCATGCCCACAAGCATTTCTTCTAATAAATACGTATGTAGATCTCAAAACTGCTCAAGAATCATGGATTTAGAGATTTCAATCTCGTTTTCACTGGAGCCATGTGCACTGTAACATTTCTAACAGCCTTTACCTATTCCCCGCTTCTAACGACAAGGAATGCACCAGTGTATTTGGTCACTAATTCCATTTTTGGACAGCATGAATTACGAGGAAGTTCTTCCCAATGGTGATTGATACAAAAACTACGGCACTTGCTGAGCAATTATTACATGCCAGATCATATGCTAAATACTTTACATACATTATCCCATTTAAGTCACACAATACCCCTCCATGAGGTGGAAATATTTTAATTCTCATCTCATAGTTGAGAGACCTAAGGCCCAAAGAGATTACTTGACTAATATCATATAGGTAGTAAGAAGCATAGCTTAGATTTACCACTTACGTATTTGATTCCAAAACCAACATCATAAACCCTACGCACTATTGCCTCTGTGATAGCCTGCAGAAATAGAAAAAGGAGAAAACGTACTCATTTTCCCACAGTAAGTCCTTCAGCATCTGAAGGCAGATTTCATGTTTTTTCTTGATTTAACTTTCTCATTTCACTTTCTCCAATTACTCTTTGTATTACCTTTTCTTAGAAAGTGACTAAGATAGTCAAGTCCTATGACACATCCTAATTAGCTGATGTTCTTCTTAAAAACTGAACATGATATTCAAGAGGTCTGACCCTTGGAGTATATACTGGGACCATGTCATAATGGTAATTTCCACCAAATTTAAGTCTCATGACAATCTTGTGAATTTTTTCTACATGGGAATTCATATTTGTATATGGTAACCCAAAACAGTTTGATACCACAAACACCAATCATAATGAGCCTAATTACTGGGAAAGCAAAGTAAAAGCTGGGAAATAAGCTGGTTGACAAAAAAAGATACAGGTAACACGAGGCTCTCCCTATATCCACAATCCAGGACCATGGCCGAATTTATTCCAAGTGTCAGAAGAGCCATTAGATGACTTGGAGCAAGCAGGACAGATGGAACCTGGGAAAGAGCAAAACCAAAATAACAATTACAACAACAAAACCTGAAGTATTAGTAGTTGAAGATGCTTCCCTTATATTTCAAATATACTTGAAAAAATTCACAGTAACATTATATTTATGATAGCTTTTCAACCATTTTATGGCTGTTTGTTGATTTATCTGAATTTACATAACCTAACTATATACCTTAATAAATAAAAACACTCCTGGGGCGCCTGGGTGGCTCAGTCAGTTAAGCGTCCGACTTCAGCTCAGGTCATGATCTCGTGGTCCGTGAGTTCAAGCCCCGCATCGGGCTCTGCTGACAGCTCAGAGCCTGGAGCCTGTTTTGGATTCTGTCTCCCCCTCTCTCTCTGACCCTTCCCCGTTCATGCTCTGTCTCTCTCTGTCTCAAAAATAAATAAATGTTAAAAAAAAAAAAAATTAAAAAAAAAACCACTCCTTAAATCCTTTAAGTTGTTTTTATTCCAAATGACAATTATGAAACATTTTTATTAATTCTTGCTCTTTCTCTTTTGGAGGAAAAAATCAAAGAGATAAAAGAAGAGATACAGAAACATAAATTCTAAGGAAGATATTAAATTAAAAAAATAAAGAGATGCTTCTGTCATCAAAATGAAAATTAAGAAAAGGATTCTTTTTTATTTATTCTATTTTAATTTAATGTTTTATTTTACATTGGCGGGGAGAGAGAGAGAGAAAGAGAGAGCACGCGACACGAGCAGGGGAGGGGTAGAGAGACAGAGACAGAA